TATCTGAGAGAAAAAGAAGAAAGAAACCCGATTAGGGATTTTCCTCCTCTCTGGTGAATATGCGATGACACCAGATTTGTGAGGGGAATGTAGATTACAGATTTACAGTATATATAACATGTTGGCTTTTTCAGCTATGTTCTGATTTAGTTTAAGTAACTAATAAATGTTAGTTTAGCTGTCGGGGGAAAAATTATAATCGAAATGACGTTATTTTGGATTGAGGCTAAGACCGCGTATTTTTAAAACTAAAGTATTCATATCTCATGGCGAATAACAACTATAAAATTTGTTGTCTAAAGAATGATATTCGAAACATTGTACCATTTAGTAAATAAGTATAGAAAATCTTATCCAATAATCATATCAAAATATGTATCAAAGTATAAATCTAATATTAAGTATTGTTTGGAAAACAGATCTTAATTTACTATATCAAAAAAAATATTGACAACTAAATTTTCATTTATTTTTCAAAAGTATAAAGGTTTGGAAATTAAAAATATTAAATTTTTTATTTGTTTCAAATTCTAATTAACAAAAAAGGTTAAAATTTTGAAACATAAAAAAGTAAGAACTTTTAGAAAAAATCTAAAATGCATATGATATTTTTCGGTTAAAGGAAAAACAAAGGGCTCCCATAGAAATGAAAGGACTAATGGCGCTTCCAACAACGATAGTGCCATCGGTTTGCATAAACAATATCAGGTTAAGATTTTTAATCTTATAATCTTCTAAGCTAATCAAACTTTGCGATATGATATAGATATCTAATCCTCTCTTTTTCTACTTTCGGCTTTTACACGTTAAATGAAGTAGATTGTTTTTTTAATCAATCAAATGATTTTTGTTCCATATAATTTTGAAGTGTTTTCGTACTTATGTTCACATACTGTAATTTCAATCCTATAATACATAACAATCAATAAATGATCATGTCATTCAATTATAATTTTGGCATAAAAATGTAATAACTTTAGATATCCAACTATAGGATTCCAAACACACTTCAAAAAACTAGAGTAAAAATGCCAATACACAGCTTAATATAGCTTTAAATTTGTAGGGTTTAATTTATTTATTTTTTAAAATAAGCAAAATATAACCAAAATATAAGCAAAACATAAGTAAAAGCTAAGCAAAACATAAATAAAAATACGTAAAATTATAAACCAATTTTTAATTTTAACACTTTTGTTTTATAACCGAATTACTAATAATTCAATATTGTAACAACAAAACTTTCAAGATTAAAATAATGGGACAAATATTAGTCGCACATAGATAGTGTCAATTGGAGGGTTCTCCATATCCGACGTAGGCAGGGGCGGACCCACGTTGAAGGTAGTGGGGTCAGCTGACACCACAAAAAAAAAAAATTCTTTATTAGTAGCATAGATCAAATATATTGAACCCACTAACTTTTAATTCTTTGAACCCACAAAAAAAATATTTGGACCCATAGACTAAAGCCCACCAAATCTGGCGATGAATCCAGCAAGTTGCTAAACACTTTTAACATATTTAACCTAATTGGACCCATAGGATGCTTTTGTAGAATGATATTTTTTTAGAACGATTTATGAAATATTTTTTTATTAATTTTTGGTTTGGTTTGAACCCACAAAAAATAATTTTTGGGTTCGCCACTGGACGTAGGTATATGTGCTTCCTTCCCCTCGAATAGTTTGACATAAATGAGTCCGACCCCGTTGCGCAAGGTAGACCATAACGTAGAATTGGCAAGTGAATTTAGTGTACCCGCGTTTTGTTGTACTCAAGCACTTCCACACACGTGATCTGCGAAAAAAAAAATGAAGAAGGAGTAACACCTGTTACACCAAAAAAAGTATTAACAAAAAAAAATATATGTAAGCATTAATTTTTGTAGTACATACCTTAGGATGTTCCCTATCATCCATTTCCACCATAAAGCCAGATGAAAGCCATCAAACAAACGGTGAAGTGGTTTTGGTATAGTTTCTGAAACCATCTACTGGACATCTACCACCATCCAGTCCCTACCCTTACATTTGCACCGTCCAGTCCCCAACCTTATGTTTGTAGTAACATAGTAATGTCACTTCATTTGTTGGAACCAACTTCGATAGAACGCGAAGTTCCCCTTTCACCTGCGAATTAATAACACACAAGATTATCAAAAATAGAGATATAAGTTTGTGATTGGTAATTGAGAAATATATTTGTTGGCCATCTATGGTTCCATCAATCCCACCGCGAATCAAATGTATCTCTAATGCTCCTGTAATCATATCTTCCGTCCACCCATTTTGTTTATAACAAAGTTTAGTATATAGAAAACTAATAACTAGTCATTCAAAAAGACAAACAATGAAAAGGACTTACGTAGTCCATAAGCACATCGACAACTGATCTAGCCTTCCCCTCAACCAAACCAAAGGTTGTAGACCCTCCCATAAGCAAATCAGTGCGTGTGGTGGAAATAATCTTACTACACTTAAAATCTTCTAGTTTAGGCCAGCTGCTCAAGAACTCTCTCATTTATTCAATTTTTGGCTCTAGAATCCGACAGGAAACAAGGCTAGGTAGAAAAAATTATTATATAGTTGCTGCATGCATGTAATATTATAGTAATTTAACAAATGAAGAAACTTTTATTTGAATTCTCATCCTCCAATTTGAATCTGACGCTAAATATAGTGTGGATTTCACAATTTGAATTAAAAAACCATTTGATTAATTAAAAGAAATGGTTTTAATTAATCAAATGGTTTTTGTTCCATATAGTTCTGATAGTGTTTTCGTACTTATGCTCACATACTTTAATTTCAATATTCCTATAATACATAATAATCAATAGGATCATGTCATTCAATTATAATTTTGGCATAAAATGTAATAACACTAGATATCCAGATATAAGTTCCCAAACACACTTAAAAAAAGTAGAGTAAAAATGCCAATATACACAGCCTAATATGGCTTTAATTTAATTTGTAGGGTTTAATTAAAAAAAAAATTAAGCAAAATATAAGCAAAACATAAATAAAAATACGTGAAACTGTAACTAATTTTCAATTTTTTAACATTTGTGTTTTATAACTGTATTACTAATAATTCAATATTTTTAATAGCAAAACTTTCAAGATTAAAATAATGGGATAAACATCAGTCGCACATAAATAGTGTCAATTGGAGGGTTCTCCATATCCCACGTAGGTATACGTGTGTAACGCCCGTGAACCAAAATGTGTATTTTTGGTGGTGCGTCGAGCGACGCAGGGGTGGTGCGTCGAGCGACGCAGGGGTGGTGCGTCGAACGACGCAAATCTTTAATCAGACCAAGAAGTCGGGTTTGATCGCACGGGTTGCGTGATGGGTTAGGGAAACCCTAGGGTTGTTATAAAAGCAGATGGGGAAGCCGTGTGTTAGTCTGTTTAGCCGCTTTGAGTAAAGAATCAGAGAGAAAAGGGTTGAGAAAGGATCTAGGTGATTGTGTGAGAGGGACAGTTTTGAATCGGAACTTTGAGAGGGCTAACGGCTGGGCTA